TTGGACTGCAATAGCACCTAGTCGCTCTAGCCATGGCCCATGACCCCACAGTGCTGGGCACTTACCTTATTTATTAGGTGTATTATTGTAGCACAGACCAGGACCCAACTTTGCTGGGTGTTGTACAGCCACAGAACTAAAGCTGGTACTTCCAATCTACGTACACTGCACTTCTCTCTTCTCACCTATCCCATTCATCTCTTCTACTTTCTCACCCACCCAATCTCACAGGCCCCCACTGACCCACCAAGAAGGGGTTGGAAATTTGACTAGATACCAGATAGCAGAGGAGTAAATGTACTAGTCACAGACCAATCTAAAAGTGGCAGTATCCAGGTGAGAAGCCAACCCTCCCTACTGAACTGCTATGAAAGGGAAAGGTTTTCTGGGATTCCCACCAGGGTACATTCCTGGGATCCTTCTCAGGGGCTCCATGTTTGGTATCAATCTCTGGCCAGCAGGTGTCTGCCTCCATCTCCTCACAACCCATCTGCTACTAGAAAGGAGAGGTTCTTTCTGTTTTCCCACCTCTAGATGCTCCTGCCTTCTGCATGAGGGATGGGGATAGTAGGTGGTCTCCTCTCTTCTACCCTTCCACAAATTCTGGACCTGATTTTCCTCTCGCCCTGGTGTAAATCAGGAATGACTGTCATCTAAAATCAATGGTGTAAGTGAGAGGAGAATCAGACCATCTACCTTTTTTTGTTCTCCTCCCAAGGTACCAGAGCGTTCCCCCAGCAGCTCCTCAGAGCCTTCCCAAGGAGCAGCAGCAGCAGATTGAAAATGACCAGATTCCCTTGAGTTTCATTTCTACCCATAGGATTTACAATACCAGAAGTGAAACTCACAAGACTCTCACCCAGTTTCTACATGGCAGAGCTCTGAGCAGCTGCAACAGAGGCACCGGTTCAGTCTCTGCAGACTAAGGAAAACAGCAGTCTGTCAGGTTACACTTAGTCCAAAACTGCAAGGCCTTCTTCCCTACCCGAAGGACAGGGCACTGTTTCTTACATGGAAACTTAGATTTCTAGAAGCTGAGAGCACTCACCTGGGAAAGATCCCTATTATCCCTATCCCGATCCCACATAGTGCAAACACATTTTTTAACCCCCAAATTTAGTAATGCATGCACTAAATGAATATTTTCAATAGCCACCTAATTCATACCAGGGTTATTGCTTATAACAACAGGGTGCGGACATCCACACAAAGACCTTATTCTGCTGATTAAACATGTACTGGTCAGTGACTCTGGACGTCTGTACTGCACGCACAGAGTGCATAATTTGCCCACTACACACCTCTTATGCCTCTGTCTTTAATGGCAGCTCCAAAATACACTCAAATCCTGTTACACAGAACATTAACAAAGAAGTGTTAATAGTGGCTTAAACATCTAACATAATTCCACCATGCCACAAAAATTCTCACTTAGGCACTCAACACCTGATCCTGATCTCACTTACTGCATGGTGAAACTGGAGTTACTTCCACTTTTTTCAGTGCAATGCAGATTCACACCAGCATAACTGAGTTCTGAATCTCTCCCTCTGTCCTTGTTTTACCCAGCTATGATGAGGTATTGTTGCTCTTTGGAAGCAGGCTTAGCCTTGTCTAGTCATCTGTTCTAAGATAACATCTAAACTGCAAAATCTAGGCACAAAAGAGGGTGAGTTGAGAAAGACAGAGTTAGCCTCCGAATTTCTCACCTATTGTCAATTTCAGGCAGTTCCAAGACATTCTGTTAGCAACCTTGCCCATTTCATTCCCCTGGGGTTTTCGGACTTTACAGTGCTGTGCACAGATTCCCCTTCTAGGGGAATGAGGAGTGGAGGGATCATATCAGTAGATAGTACATAATCTAATCATACAGAAGATGTGCTGAAATACCAAGCAGGCTATTGGCATGCGTACACCAGTTTGCTGAATAGTAGGGCAGTAAGAGTAAGCATTAGCAAACAGACTGTCGGGAACAATCCTGCACTGATCACCAGTAATACGGCCTATATGGAACCAAACAACCTTTGCAATCTCTAACTTCTGTGGGTCCAGACACAACACAGCAAAAAAACTGTCTTTTGATTGGTCCCCCAAATTCTCCCTGAGGTAAAGGAAGATTTATGCACCAGACAATTATAGGTTAGAATAATTTGCATCTCTCACAAACCCAGTGCCCCCAAAACAGTATGAAAAAAAGGATCTTAGCAGAGATCTATCTGCCCATCCATCCTACTGTTTCCTACAGCATTCATCAGCAGAGTATCTAAGTCCTGCAGTGCACATGCTCAGTTAGCCAGCTATCTGGGGGGTGAATATCTACTGGAAACTGTTTCTAATTTAAAATTAGTATTTGCAAGGCTTGGGTATGTGTCAGGAATTGAGGGGCAGATTCTGATCTGAGTTGCACAGGCATAATGCCACAGGCTTGAAAGAAACTGCTCCGGATTTACACCGGGGTAACCAAAATTAGAACCTGGCGTTAAAATGTGGGTGCCGTATTTCAGTTTTGAAACCAAGCTGAGGGGAAACACATGCTAGAAACGGCTCCTAGAAAGAGACTTACTACCAAAAAACCTTAAGACGGCCCCATTTAGATAATTTTTCAAGACACAGTTTTAACATAAAGGTATCAGATAACAACATGCGCATCAGATTTCAGGCGAATACACCAGTATGGGTTTAACATCCAGATAACTCACAATGCTGTATAGAACTACCTTCGCCCATCCAGGCACCAAAGCATCTTGCTCACTGCCAAAACTACACCAAGCTTTCAACAGATGCAAGACCTTTATCAACGATATTATGCATAGAAAATGTTTCTTTTAAAACCATACTTTCTGAGATACACAGGGTGGCTTTCCTCAGCCATATTTTGAAAGGGGAGGGGGTTATGCGGTTTGCTGGCTTTCCCTCTAGACAACGGCAAATAAGTAAAAAATCACAATAGAGAATAAGGTATTTACATACCAAAGTTGAAGCATCAGATGCAGAGACAGCAATTTCTCAGTTTCTCCGCCCAGCTTGGGAAACCACTTTCAATGGAAAGAGTCCGCAGATGTGGCCAGAAGTGGCTCCTAAATCTATCTTCTCACCCCCAACCCCTCCTCACTTGTGAAATTAATTATACATCCAGGAGCAGATGAAAGGTGGCTGGGGCAATTCCTGTGCTATTCTGCCAATGCAATGTGTGGTCCCAGGGCCTGATTCTGCACCCAAATACATGGGCATCTGTCTGCCAGCTTCCATGGGAGCTCCGCCTATGTAGCAGAGGGAAGTGACCCCGACGTCCCTTGTCCTGTAATTCTGCACATAGGGTGCACAAATAAAACACAGTTTTTCTCTCTCTGGGCAGCCAGGCATAATAAACACGGGGCAATGCTATCTCTCTGAGGGCCAAATTCTGCTCTCAGTTACACCTGTCTAAAGCCTGAGTAACCTCACTGATTTTGATGGTGTGACTCCGGACTGACACTGGTGTAAGCAAGAGCAGAGTTCGGCCCTGTGTATTGATAGGTCTAATTTCTATGTAATGCAAATATGCACCATCCACCCGAGGCTTTGGACAGTAGCAGTGAGGACCCAAGCTTCCTACCCTCCAATTACCCAACATCCTGTCTCATATCCCCACTGCTAATGAGACCTCCACACGCACCCTTCTCCGTGCCCCTCCCTTTGGGCCACATTTCAGCAGTGAGGACTCTGTGCTGTCTGCTCCTCTTCTTCTAGCAAGGAAGCAGCGTTAGAGACCATAGATTACTGATCTCCTTTCTCTGGACCAACAAGGGGTTCGCTGGGGAACCCCTGTTTCTGTTTCTCGTGAAATGGCTTGCAGACACCCACAAAGATGGCAAAGACCCCGGCTCACTGCTCCCCCTTCCATTCCACATGGATGGGCAGTGTTGTTGGGGAACACGCAAACCCCTGCACTGCCTCCCACTGGAAGGTCCGTGGACATGATGGATGCTGGGCATTTACCCATCTGACAGACCCATGTTGCAAGGGAAGTCCCAAGACCCCCTGCCCACGAACTGGCTCGGGTGGAGGCCCCACTCCCAGACTGGCCTCTGCATGTCCTGCCTGTTCTGTAATCCACACCCTGAACCCCGCAACCTGGGGAAAAGCTGTCTGACCATGAACTGCCCCTAAACCCCTTCCCCGAGGGGTAGGGACTGGCCAGGGTGTGCCAGGCAGGCTGCGCCCTAGGGAGGCAGATATCATGGGCAAGATCGTTAGCTACCTGTGCTGGGGGTGCAGGTGACTGGACTGAGGTCGTGGCATGCAGTGGAAGGTGGGGAGTGGGGTGCAGAGGTACAGCGGGGGGAGGTGAAGTGCGGATGGAGGGGATCGGGTGAGTTGAGAGGTGGAGACGAATGGGCTGGGGTGAAGGTACATGGGTTAGGGTGGGAGGCCCACATGCACAAGTTGGGGTGCAAATGCCTGGGAGAAGGGGATCCATGGAGAAGGGTGCCTATGCATGGGTGCTGTGCAGATGTGTGGGTGGTGGGAAGCGTGCATGATGGGGTGCAGGTGCCTAGGCTGAAGAGGATTCATGGACTGGGGTGCAGAAAACCAGGTAGGGAGATTCATGAGTTAGGGGGTGCAGAGGCATGGGTGGGGTGTATATGTATTAAGAGGTGGAGATGTGTGAGTGGGGGGGACGCATACATGACAGGGTGCAGGGGCCTCAGTGGGGGAAGATTCATGGCTGGGAGATGAATGAGTTAGGGGGTGCGGATGCATATGTGGAGGAGGCAGATGCCTCGGTGGGGGTTAGATGCATCCCAGGGGGCAGCTGCTTGGGTGGGGGTTGCATGCCTTAGGGGGTGCAGATGGCTGGATCTGGGGGTGCATGCCTTAGGGGGTGCAGATGGCTGGATCTGGGGGTGCATGCCTTAGGGGGTGCAGATGCCTGGATCTGGGGACGCATGTATTAGGGGGTGCAGCTGCCTGGCTGGGGAGGGATGCTCGAGTGCGGGGGTCCCCAACAGAAAGGATATGGCCATTCGGTGATCTTTTTGGCGTATTTCCTCACCACATTGTCCTCGCTGAAGAGGAACAGGGACCGGTTGACAGTCAGGCAGTTCTGCCGGACGGGGATGGGGTTGTAGAGAGCCATGGTGCGGGCTCGCTGGGCCATCGACTGCTTGTACATCCTCTGGGCCCCGGGCGGTCCGCCCTGCCGGCTGCCCCCTGCACCCCGGCCGCCTCCACCGCCCGCCGCGCCCCCGGAGCCAGCGCCCCCGGAGCCGCCAGCCCCGTAGCGGGCCGGCACCTCGTCTCCGAAGCGAGCCATCCTGCAAAGAGCAAAGGGCCGGGGGTTACGATGCTGAGGACGCTGCCGGAGAAGAGAAGCTGGTCACATCCCATCGGCTGCTGCGGCGGCGGCTGCTCGGGGGGCTGGCAGCCGACGGAGGGGGACGTTCAGGCAGGAGCACGGCCGGCGAAAGCACCAGAGACCCTGGCCATCCTTCCTCAAGCCTCTCTCCGCCCCGCTCAGGGAAGGCACCGATGCGACCCCCGCGCACACAAACACACGCGCGCGCGCACAGCCCCCCCCCCCAAAGAAAATTGCAATGAAAAAACGAACGCACCACCCTCGACAAACGGTGCTCTGCAATTAAAAATAACAACTCATCGATGCGCCAACCTCGCCCGAGGGTTGCCAGCGCTAAAAAGAATAATTAAAGAGCCACCCACAAAACAGAATGGCAACCCAAAAACCGCAAGTCGCCGCCAGCCCAACCCCCCCCCCCAAAAAAAAAGCAATTTAAAAAAATGTCTCACTCCCAGCAAAGTAACGAAATACAAATAATTACGATCAAATATAGCAAGTGCAGCGCCTCCTCCCTCCCTCCCTCCCTCCCGACATTCAATTTAAAACCCCTGAATGCACCAGCTCCTCACTTCAAGCCCGGGGGGTGGGGAAGTGCGCTACAAATAAATAAAACGGGCCCGCAACTATATATTTGCAATGCAATTTTTGGCAAAAAAAAAAAAGAAATTAAAAAATAAAGAATGCAACCCTTCCTCTGTCCTGTTCAGCTTTGCACGCTTGAAAACAAATGTACCCTAACATTTGTTTTTAAAATCAGTGCGTTCCCCTCAGCCTCGCCCCCCAAAATGTTAGCATCAGGGAAGAAAATAACAATAATGTTTAAAAAAGCAAAAAAAAAAAAAAAAAAAAGACCCCCCCCCCCAAGGTCTCTGCTTTCACTTGTGCATCATCCTGCCGTCTTCAAAACCTTGCAAGATCTGGAGAGGAATAAAAGGCTATTGGGGTCTTGCTAAGCGTCTTAAGATGTAGGCTGGATTTTTTGTTTGGTTGGTTTTTTCCTGTTGCAAGTTCACCGGCGGTCTCTGCTTCCTGCCTTATTATGATTTTGGTGTGAGCGCCTGAATGTCAATTTTGCATCATCTTGGAGTTGAATGCAGCAAAGAAATCCTGTAAAATCCAAAAACGAAAAAGAAGAGAGAAGGAGCAGGTCCCATCCACCATCTACTCATAAGGGTTTCCTGGATGCTGCAATGGCTAGTCTTTTTTTCTGCCCTGTCTTCCTCCTCCTCCTCCTTCTGGGTTATAGCTAAAATAAGACTGGTGTTAGGGAGGGAGGGACTGGGAGAGAGAGAGAAAAAAATGAAAAAAAAAAAAAAAGATCTGATTCAGGGGCAGGTTGAGCTATAATGTGCAGGAACTGATCAATTTAATGCAAGCTCAGACCATCCCAAAACCTCAGCAACGCTTAGCACATGATGGCCTGGGACCAATCAGTTGCCACTGCCCAGCCTAACCCAGTGGAGTTTCTGGGAGAAAGAGAAAGATTGAGAGAGAGGAAAGGCAGGTTGGGGCAGATTTTTCTCCTCCCCATCCACCTCCAGTGTGGAAAACCTAGAAACAAATTGCAGTTTTCCCTAAGTATTCCCCCAGCTGGATTCTGATCTCAGTTACGCTAGTGTAAATCCAAAGTGAATCTCATATGATTTCGCTGGAGTGACTGAGGATTCACACTGGGGTAATAGAGATCAGAGTCTCTTCCTGGGGCTCCATGGCTAGCTTCTGAGTCAGTGCAGGTCTCATGTTTCTTTGGGGGGCAAGCAGGGAAAAGGAGTGAGTTGGCCCTGATTCTCCTCTGAATTTACACCAGTTTTACGACAGTGTAACTAGGAATTACTCCTGATTTACAAGGGTACTGAGTGAGAGGAGAGCCAGAGTGCGCGTGTGTATGTGGGATGTAATGCAATGAGAAGCTAAGCAATCTGTGCAAACTCTAAACGAAACCGACACATTCCTTGAAAGAAAAAGAGCTGGGAGGATTCTGTGATCTCAGTTACATTGGTGTAAATCCAGAGCAACTCCACTGGCCAGATCCTGAGGCGTTTCTGACTCGCCTTTTTCCATCTTTATTTGGGCAAATTCACTTTCCCTCCCTTCAGTGGGTGCTTGGCCTGAGTAAGAAGTGAGTCGTCTCAGAGTAAGGTTGTGCCCCCCTCTGTTCAGATTTTAAATGAAATGGCTTGGTGGGGTATTTCTAATATAATTTGCTAAGTTACCACTGTGCAGTCTCCTACTACAGCCAGTGGGTCACATCCTGCTCCCAGCTACACCAGACCAAAGTCACTCCTAAAATGAAGTAGACAAAGTCACTCCAGACACAAACTCCAGAGCAGAGCAGAATCTCATCTCCAGTTATTTTGCTGTTTCCTGCGTAGGACTGGGCACTCTTAACTCCCACTGACCCCCGTAAGAGTTGAGAGTGCTGAGCACCTCACAGGATTGGGCCCTGTGGGGTTAAATCCTGAGACAGAGGTGGCAATATTTATCCAGCTGCAATGAGAAAGTTAAGCTGGGGGCATGGCTTGTGTTAACAGATCTTCCCTTGACTTGCTCAAGGGGCCATTTAGTTGCCATGAAATTTGCATGGTCCGGGGGGCAGTGGATTATTTTCTGGCATTAAAGACTTCGCTGAACATGAATCAGCCCCACTGAGGGCCTTCCCCTGCCCTCCTTTAGTGAAGTGGAATTCTCACTGAAGGCAATAGGAGTTCTGGCCGAGTGAGGAGTGTGTTCTCCTCACTTAGAATCGTTATTGGGATAGTAACAAATTTCTGGGAGCTTCCAACTCCGCAGGTGTCCATGTGCAGAAGCAGATGGCGCCACACGGCGAACGGGGATAGAAAGAACAGATATTGACCCTAAAGCAATTGCACTTCTTCAAGATAATGTCATCCTGTCCACAGATTCCACTCTTGGTGCATACGCCCAGATTCCAGATTCCAAGGCCGGAAGGGACCATTGTTAACACCTGTATGGCACAGGCCGGAGGTCTCCCCAAAATCCTTCCTAGAGCAGATCTTTCAGAAACACATCCCATCTTGATTTAAAATTTGCCAGTGATGAGTCCACCATGACCCTTGGTAAATTGTGCCAATGATTAATTACCCTCAGTGTTAATTACACTCAGCGGGGGTGGAGAGTCTAGATTAAAATTTACCAAAGGGCTTGTCTAGACGCGGGAAGAGCCTGCAGTAGCTGGTACACGCTAGGTGCTCCTCACTAACCCCCCCATGTAGACACTGTACAATAACATGCCTTTGTACACCTTAGCTTGATACATTTTGGAAATGCACTAAGCTAAACCACCTGGAGGCCCTGTTAGTGCACAGTAGAAGTGTCCACACGGGGAGTTAGTGTGAGTAGCTAGGGTGCTTTACATTCACACCCTAGCTTAGTGGCTCACTAACCTCCCCATATAGACAAGCCCTAATAGCTATATATCAACAGAGATATTTGCCAGTGGGTATTAAAAACAGATCTACACTAACTACACTGTCCTAACTATACTAACAAGACAAACTACACTGTTATAAACAAAGCAGATTGCACAGTCTGCAGAGTAAGTGGACACTGCAGGTTTCTGTCTTGATGCCATGGGTGGTTAGAAGGGACTGAAGGATGATGGATGTCATTTTAGCTGAAGGGGAATCCCTGACAGCTGTGAGCAGTACAGGGTGCATGACACAGCAGTGAGTGGTTCTGACTATCCAATAGCGGGGCAGTGATATGCTTATTACAATATTATTATGAGCAGTGCTGAGTGTACCATAAAGGATTTATACTTTAGACCTTTCACCAAAGGCTCTGTCTACACTGCAATCGGAGATGTGACCGCACAGGTGAAGATGTACTGAGCGAGCTTTGACCTGGCTGCCTCGAATAACAATAGCGGTGAAGGTGGGGCGGCAGCACGGGCTCTGCAAGCCCGCTTGAGACTCTGGGCGTCTGGCCTGCGCTGTCGCAGGATCGCTACTATTGTTATTCGAGCTAGCTGGAGCTACATGTCCCGTGATCACACCTCTGATTGTGTTGTAGACATTCCCAAAGGATCTCAAAGCACATTAACTCCCCACAGTGGTCCACTAAGTCAGTATTATCCCCATTTTACAGAGAGGGACACTGAGGCATGGGGTGGCTAAATGAGCTGCTCAAGGTCATATAACAAACAAATCATAGAGTTAGCAAAAGAACCTAGCAGACCAGATTTCCAGCCTTCTGCTTTAACCACTACTCCACCTGCCCCTAGCGTGAAGGCCAAGGACCTTTTGTTGACGCAGTGCTCTCGGAACCTAAGGCCCTCGACACAGTTTGCTGCCTGAACAAGGGGCAGCTGTTTCACAGCACTCAGCAGCACCACACAACAGTTTAGGACAGGAAGTGCAGATGCATCTGTTATCCAGTTGAAACTGCAGGGGGAATTTAGAGAGGCAGAACAGAATTAGGCGAAATGGAAGTTGACCAGGACACCTGTACTGAAAAAGATGGGGGAATATTTAATGACAAATGCCCAGGACATTGGTTCTACCTACCGCCTGAAAGATGTCTTCAGCAGCACGGCATCCCCCACCAGCACAATGAGACACTGGAACATTACTGACTGACTGAATCATCAGTGCTATTTCCAGTGTCACCCAGCTTTTCCCTTGAGGTCTCCCACTAAGTAGGATCTACTTGACTTAAGAAATCTGACCTGGTTACAACTTTGCTTTCCTAAACACGGACAGATTTAAGCAGGGGTGTCAAAGAGCACATGAGAAAAGGATAACCAAGGCTTAATCAACAAGGCCCTTCCCCTCCCTGTTCTACAGATGGAGAAACTGAGGCACAGCAAGTGAGGGAGCTGCTCAAGGTCACGCAGAAAGGTGGATATGAGGATATGGAACAGGAACAGGAAGCAGCTTAGGCGCTGGAACTAGGGGTGTTGGGGGTGCTACCACATCCCCTGGCTTGAAGCGGTTTCCA